TGTAATCATTTTTCAGAATGTTAATAAAACGAGATTTGAGCTGTGGTCCCGATAGTAGCCGAACTACAGCTGCTCTGATTCCTCGTACCAGACGAGGATATGTAGGCATAGGATGCGATATCCTAGCGAGCACACTAACAACTAACCCTTTGTTCTCTTCGCGGCTGTGCGATCGAGACTTTCCCGCTGACGATTAATTGTAACCCTTTTTCTCTCTTGCCCGAGTGCATTTGAGACCAAGCCATAGTTTTGCCCATAGGTTCCCGTACCTTTTGAAACCAGTTTATTTTCTCACTGCTGTGTGAGAATACCCTGTTTAGCCGTAGTTAGCCTGAACTACGTAAAGCTCTGATCTTCCATGCAGTGTGGAAGTACGTAGGCATAAGACGCGAGGTCTTGGCGAGCCAATTTTCCCTGTAGTCCCGAACTACGTTGACTCTGACTTTCTCTCTTGAGAATACGTAGGCATAGAGTGCGACGCTCTATCGAGTCAATTCCCTTCCGTTTAGATTTAGCAGTCGTAGATAGATTATTTTGCATCCTTTAGACAACCCAAGCAAGCGTGGATCCCGTCGAGTACGATGGACGTGAGGGGTGCTAATACCTTCCCCTTGCGTAACCGACTCCCGAACCCAGGTTTTGGTTGCGATGACCATACCTTTCCCCGTTTTTTGCGAGGTTTACTTCGAGCGTTTCCTTTCCCTCTGTTGGGATAAATAACGCACGGTGGCGACTCTTCTGTCAGCCGGCGCCGATTTTCGCAGTAGCGACACTTCCCTTTCTAAGTGACCCTTTCGTTGGAGGTATTTCCAGGAGCTAGGACATCTCCTCTACTAGCAGCGATAAGGGAGAATATAGAGGAAGCCCGATATATGTTGTGGCTGGCCTTAAAAACAAGCTCAATCTTCTTCCCCTAAGAGATATTTTGGACGAAAGGATAGGTCCAATGTCAAGACTATAGTAGCAGCCTCCTCAGGAGTATGGGCAATTCGGGATGAGAAAACGTCTAGCATCCAAAAGAAGGGATTTATCTCCCCTGAAGCATCTTCCTCTAATGGACAAGTCCTTTTAGAATAACCTTCCCTTAGAGGGGAAGATGATTAGTCTTCATCTCTACCATTCTTTGTTGGATTATGAGACAGGAACACCTCTTCTTCCAAAGTCAATACAGTTGCATCATCGACGAGCTGGTCGACCTCAGGTGCAGAAGATGAACTCTCGGTAGCCAATATAGGAGAAGGGGTCGGAGCATAAACAGTGGTCGGAGGAGGAGGAACGATAGCCTAGATAACTTGAGCACTAGCAAGGTCATATAACATCTTCAAGTTGTTCATTCTATTTGCAAAATGCAATAACGCACATCAAATAAAATGATGGACCTCGTTCTCATAAAAAAATCTCTTTCCTCTCATCCTAGTTTACTGCACTCAAAATAGCGCTAGTGTTAATCTGTTTCTTTTTCATCTCAAAAGAAAGCACCTCGTCGGGGCCAAATCCTTCTTCATAACCAAGCCCTTGGAACAAGGAATGTAGACTTTCCTTCATTGTTGTCTTGTTAGGGGAAAGTATATCTAGTTTAGTATGGTAGGAAAGAATGTCTCAAGTGAAATGATATGAAAACCAATACTTTAGAAATGAGCCTTCGCAGAAGCAGGAAGATCTAGTCGGAGAGTAGCAAAAGGTGAGATGGGCCTTTAGTTTACGAGGCTTTACCAACAAAAAACGCCCCCAGTCTTGGGTGAAGTGGTCAAACCAATGGTCGTTCGTGTGGAAGCTAATGAGCCATTAGTCGTAATAGTCATCTTGAGAAGTGCATACCATATATAACATGTTGAAGAACAACTCAAATGAAGGCTTTTAAGACTTATGCTTCGCACACAATTGTAATACCCTCGTGAAGGCCCAAGACCTCAGATGGAGCAGGAAAGGAGCCACCTCAAAGTAGGAAAAATGTAGCCTTAATCCTATCCTCGTGAACTATCATTCATAAGACGGGACCATAAAATCGTCGAAAGTGTTGCATACAATCTTATACGGGCCAACCTGAATAACAAATCAATTACGAGGGTCGTCGACCATGATGTTGACAAACTCTAGTTTTGCCTTAGTATTCATAACAGACCGGGTGCCTATTACCTCGGCCTCCACCCAACCACACTTCATTGCATCAGACAACTCTAGTAGCGTCAATCTTTTTTGGGCCAAATGGTAGATCTTAGAATGTTTGCGAGGCGTAATCCAAGACATTGTATCTGGACGAACTCGAAGATCCATGTGGTCTTTCACCTTAGTGTTGCTATGTTCATGTTTGTTAGTTCTCAAGTAAAGCTGAATGGAACTTTTAATGTGTTCTCTCATCTTCCAGCTGGCTTGTATTTCCTATTCGATTAAGAAAGAATGGGGCATAGAGACCTCGACACCAATTACCTCTCCCCTTACATTTGATAAAAGGACTTCTAATGAGCTAGACGAAGAAACTCCTTCCTCTAGGGAATCCCCAAATACCATTTTTGATTCAGAATCATCAAATAAGGTACGACTTTTAGTTCCAGACAATCATAATCAAGATGAGGGAGATAAGAATCAAGGGGTGTCCCCATTCTCGAGGCAAAAGAGTTTTCGCTCATAGAATCATTCACTAAGTTAATTGTATTATCACTCATCCTGACTAGAAAACATGAAATTCTGAAGAAAAAAGCTTAAGCTTATGTTGGTACCTAAAGGGTGAGATTCACAAAGCGAAATGAAAGATGGAAGCAGAGATATTAATTAAAGAGATGAAACCATCCGAATAATGCTCTCGGGAGATAAGAAGAAGAAATATTTATTAAGATTGTGAATACTAATGAACTTGAATTTCCAAGATGATAAAATTTTTCCAAAACGCTCAACTCTTCCTACTTATAGGCAAGAGCTGTTGGACGATCCAAATCAACTAAAGAAAGAAATTATGAAATCAACGACTAGGTTTCTTCTCTGGGATACACTCAAACTCGAGTGCACTCAAGTGCAATATAAGTTGCAGCATGCCATAACCTATCGTGTCAACCTACGTGTTAGAAGCAAGTAGTAAAACATTTCAATGATGTGAGTGCATTTATTGATCTTAATTTCCACTACTTTTTCAATTGACTCCAAACGTTTCAACTTTGTCTCACACCAAACGACGTCTTCGAGGCCGACTAAAATCGCTGAAGTCTTCTCTAACTCATTTAGTGTCCGACAAAGTTTTTGGGAAACTGTTATTGACCTACCAAAGGCCCAAAGAGCAAAGTCCCAATTCATTTCAAATTCACTCCATATGACCCAATGTATAGAGTAAGTCCCTAGAAAAAACAGATACATTTTCTGATCGTCACTTTTCACTATCTCATCTTAAATCTTGAAATAACTTGGACATTAGAGTTCTAAATATGCAGGTTTACCCTACGCCACGCCACCGTCACAAAGTTTAACTCCATCGATTTAAGATATTTTGTTACCAATCACATAAATTAAACAGTCTTTTTCTTATCAATCGGCGAGGCCTCGCTAAAGCTCCGCTTCTTGAACTTGAAACTCCCTGACATTAGAGAGTGCCCAGTTCTCTCCGCTTCTCCTTTCAGTCTAGATTAGCCTGGATCCCGAAACCACCAGCCACCCCAACCTAATTTATGATGAGCCCACCAACTTCCTGGCATGATGCCCACGGTTTAAAACCAACGACATGTAAAGATCCAAATTCGAATCTGTTTCTGGTCCTGATCAGATACCACTGTGTTCGCGCCGGCGTGAATGATTCTTAAAACGATACAATCAATTAAAATTTTAATTAAATAGTATATAATTTTTTTAACAAAATGATTTAATATTCCAACTTATTCCCCTTTTTAAACCAAATAATTTATTTCAAAATATCATCTTTAAACATCATTCACTTTTCTACCTCAATTACTTTTTTAAAAAAGAAATTGCAGGAAAGAAATCATTAGTTGTATATTTATCACTTCGACTCTTCCACAAAGCATTCATTTTTCTAAAATTTAAAAAGAAATTCTATAAATGTTCGAGATTCGATAATCCACATTTTCCCTTAACTCCTATAAACCTTTAATACAACAAGTTACTTGCATGAGAAGTAAATCCAATTAAGGAAAAGAAAAACAATTAAAACCATTTGAATATGATAGCTTTCACCCAAAAAGAAGTGCTTGCTAGAAAAGCATCAATGAGGTACATTATCATAAAGGCAATTTTGGCCACATCACATTATATCTCAAAATAAGTAAAACCTCACCCACCATATCAAATTGGTCAACAAATTGATTCCAATCACCTTATCCGAATATTAATATTAAGCTTATAAAAGTAATCAAAAGTACTAACATTCAATAACATCACACATGAAATTGCCATTGGATTCCAAATTTTTTTGGACTTGTACACATAGTAAAAGAGATTTCATTCATTTAAAAAATAAAAAAGAATGTAAAGTGATAGTGAAAGGTGAATGGTAAAAAACCATCATTACATGTGAAAAAGAAACAAACAAATATTTTCTTTTCAATTAATCTTATCCTTAGAAAAAGAGAAAAAAAATATTCTTAAAAATAAAATACATAATAAATTATTGAGCTACCTAAGCTCAATTTTTGTCTTCCTAATTGACCAGCCAATAAAGGGCTTGAAAGATATAAAATCAATCTTTTGAACCCATGTACTAAAATTATAAACAAAGGACTATTATGTCATTGGATGCTTCCAACACCCTAGACATAATAAAGAGTTGAATTACTCTAAAAGGTAGAATCCAAAGCTTAAATAATTAGATTCTTCCCTATGCTGAATACTTGAATGAATATGATCTTACCTAGTTCTAATTTAAAAATAAAAAAAGAAAATACTTATGATGATGATGATGATGATGGAAAATTTTGTCATGATGAATTGAGAATGTGGTTAAGGTTTGGTTAGCCTTGTAACTTGTAAGACACCATGTGTCTTGTTTATCCTTGTAGAGATCAACTTGTTGAATGTTGTTGTTGTTCAGAGTCTGTTGTTTCAGTGGCTTGTGAACTTGTAACCCCTGTTACTGCCACGGTTGTTGCTGTTGTGGTAGTTGCGGTCGCGGCTACTGTCATGGAAAATCATTACAATTTAGTTTTCAATACAAATAAATTCGTCGAACAGCAAGATTCGAACCTGAGACCTTGGATGGCCATGCCGGAGGGTTTATTAGACTTATTACCTGTACTAATGGTCGGCAATGCAGTTGAAGAAGGAAATGACAATATTCCAGGGGAACCATAATTCTGAGACAAAACTGGAATCTGTGTCATTTGAGGGTATTGAACTCCAAAACCAGGACCATGGATATTTTGCGCATATTGGCCGTAGTAAGGGTACATATTTTGGACCAGCCCCATTGTTCCAGCACCTCCAACAGATGGGTAGTAAGGTGAATATTGTTGAACACCATACACATTGTAATAGTTCTGGTAATTACAAGTTTTAATCAGCATTAATTCTTACTTCTACTAAGCACAAATTTAAATCTGACATTAACTTTGACGGAATAAGCTGAATCACTGTGATTTTGTCGGAGCTTCAACAAAATCACGATGACACAATAATTCCGTCAAACTCAGTTTGAGAAATTCATAACAATAACACTTACAGCAGGATACAAAGTGTCTTGTGAATATCCAGAATATCTGTTAGATAAAAACATGATAGAATTGACATCAAAGAAAAGGACAGACAAGGATTATAAAAATGTTGATAGAAAATTACTAGCTCAACATAAAATTGAGACCATAATGTATATAAAGTTACCCATATGCTGAATAAGGAAATGTGTACTGCCTAGTGGGTTGATGTAAAATTGCGGATGATGAAGATCCATGATAAGGAACCGGCGCCATCACTCCATGTGGAGGCCTAAACCTTCCTGCACCATTTCAGTATAAAAAAATTTGTTTCTTAGGAATTTTATAAAACATATAATCAAAATATAACAAATAAAAGAGGATGGAAGAATTGAAACCATGTTGAAGAGTTACTGATCTATTCTTGTTAGCACCAAGAGAAGCAATATTGCAATTTGCTCTTCTTCCATCAATAACTGGAGATGGATTCTGACAAGCTCTTATAGCAGCCTCAGGATCCTTAAATGTCACCTATAAAAACAATAGATCATAAATGAAAGAAATAAACAAATAAACAAGTAAATAAAATTATTCACAAATGTCAGAAACATTATAAAAAGAAAAATGGACTTACAAAACCATATCCTTTAGATCTCCCAGTATACTTATCAGTGATAACAACAGCTTCTAAGATCTCTCCAAATTGCTCAAAATACCTTCTCATTGTGTCCCTTTGAGTCTCCCAGGCTAACCCACCAACAAAAATTTTGGTAAATGTTGTGTCACTATATTGATCTTGGTTGTTACCACTCATCATATGAGGTTGTCTTTGTTGAGACATTGAGAGAATAAAAACCCAAAACAAACAAACACAAAATCCAAAGACAATGAAGAGTGAAAAAAGACAGGTTTTAATAAAGGGTGGATGAAAAAAATTTAAAAATTTTTTAAAAAAAAAAAAGATAATTTTTTTTTGTATATTCTAAGAATACATCAATGAAAACACTCGTGCATTCATGATTCTGTTAAGTGCTACTTTTCTACATTCAAAAACACAGCAACAAACTCATCCTCGGATTCCACAAACATCACCACCCTTACCAGAAAGAAAAATCATTATTGTCTGAGCAATGAAAGGAAAAAAAGAAGACACTCTTGATGAAAGTATTTATGTACAACAACAAAAGAACATTGCTTTGCTTGATGGGTTGTGAAGAGTAGAAGAGAGAGTGTTGATATTAAAATAAACAGACAAAAAAGCTGCTTGTGGGCACCCACACAACAATTGTAGATGCTGTATCCAATGAAGTGTCAAAGACCACAAGACCAACTTTTCTTGTTGTAACCCACTTTCTCTTGTTCTATATTATACTAAACAAAATAATTTATAATGAATGATTTTATTATTATTTTTGTGGTATGAGGTGGATGGAATCAAACCATTTTGGTCTCTATTCGACCTCATCTTCTTTTCCAAATTGATAGCCTCCAACCTGTCTTTCAAATGTATGACATTGTTGTGCAGCACCTCAAAAGCCAATCAAATTAACCTCGGAATCTCAGAAATTGCACAAAAACAATTTTAAAATATAAAAAAATTATTTTAAAAAAAGTTTAATCAATGTGAATTTATTAGTTTACTATATGAATTGTTTGATCTTGAATAAATAGTGTAGTGATGCCCCGAAAAATTGATGATTTATATTTTAGACCGCTGCAATTACCTACGGTCACACATTTGGACAAATCACCATTCTATTTATAAAACTATTTACTATTTGTGCTGATGGAGTGGTAATTTGTCTGAATGTGTGATTGTAGGGGATGGTCACACATTCGGAAAAATCACCATCCGATTTATAAAAGCACTTACGATTTGTTTTGATGGAGTGGTGATTTGCCTGGATGTGTGATTGAGTGAATTGCGACGTTTGAAAATCTATATCCTACAACTTGTCATACTTAATGAATGCTTTTTTTTTGGTAATTGCTTTATGAATGGTAAATGGATTAATGAGTTCTATGCTGCATGCCTAGAAAGGAGAAAGACAAAGTTCTTTATATAAATTATATCTGCTCAGAGTAATAAAAAGAGTATGAATTCTGTATCATACTTTAGTTATGGTCCTCTCTTCTTCTTCTTCTGCTATGTCTATGTAGTTACTTTTGTCAGAGTGTTATGTTGGTGTTCAATAATGAGAGCTACCTCCATTCTTCTACTGCAAAATGCAAGGCAAAAGTAGAACAATTATATGTATTTACAGCTAAGCTGATATAAAGTAAAAACAGGAACAAAAACTGTGGTGTCTAAAGAGTAAATAGTAGTTGTAGTTGGAACCTAACTCCATATACAAAAAAGTAAAATATGGAGGAGCATAGAATATTCCATTGTTGGAAGCTTGATCACATGCAATTGCCCAGTTTCATATTCACAGCAATAATTTCATCCATTATGATCGAGCTAAGAAAATCAAAAGTTCCTTGTAGCAACCATTATGTTTACTACTATACCTTCTACAACACTCAGAAACATGACAACATTTTATATTATTGAGTCACTTGCTATATCATCCATGAAACAAGTATTCTATGAGAAGATAACCAAGTTGATACCATCTTATTATTCTCATTCTTTTCTGTTATGGCAAGAATTATGAACTTCAAGAAAATGGGACTATAGGTGAATGCATCAAGAATATGAACCTTAAGAATTATGTGTTGACACCTTGTGTTCCCTTTCTTAGTCATACGATTGAGTTGACAATTAATTGCATGCTTGGGGGACTTGCAAAACGAGTGTTTAGGAGAGTTTTCTTTAGGTGAAATATATGAAATAGAAGTCTTTTGAATGAGAAAGCTTAGGGATGTAATCGGTCCGGTTTGAATCAGTTTTTACTGAAAAAAATATCCGAACCGATATGATATCTCCATCGGATTGGTTTGGTTTTTTTAGTGTTTTTCAAAAGTGGAATCAAACAAAATTATGTTGATCAATTTACATCATTTTTTTTCTCAATTATATTCATTTGTATATTTTTCACTCTCATATTTTATGTGTATTTTTTACTATTATTTTTTTAAATAATACATTTTATATAATCTATTTCTTGCTCTGTTTTTCAAACAAATTAAAAATTGTATTAACTCATATAAAGCGGTAACAAATAAAATACAATAATAAAAAAAAAGTTATAATACACATAAATTAATACACTTTACATCTCAAATACACATTTAAATTATTTTGTTACACAACTAAAAAGAATTTCATTGAAAAAGGAATTAAGAAGGTATAAAAAAATATATGAATATTAAACAAAAAAAAAACTTGAAATACGAAAAGGTTTTCAAGACTAGAGCAATGAGAACAAATTTTTGTGACTTATAATTTCTAGTTCTTATGTTTGGAGTTTGGTGGTTGACATTGTGTTTTGCTAAAAGGAATGAAGCTTAAACAATGTTGAAAAAGGGTTAAATTTGTGTAATATTTTGACTTAATAATGACATGAATAATAGATAATTATAACTATCGATTTGATTCATCGATTTATCGGTTTTTAACAATTAAAATTGAGAACCAAACAAAATTACCTCGATTTTCATCAGTTCGGTTCACTTTTTGAATCGAACAAAAAAAATTTTTTTTTCCGATTTAGTTTGATTTAGATTGTAAATTTAAATATATATTTTTATCCCTTTACACCCCTAACAAAGTCAAAAAGTGAAAGACTATATTCATTTGTTAATTCTATATCAAATACTAAAGATGTTGATTTTATAATTAATTCTATGGTATAAGGAGAAAATTGATCCTCATTATAGTTAATACTAATAAGAAAACAAATTAATACATTTTTCTATAATTATACACAAGAAATAAATACAAATCAAAATCATATTATTTATGATTAATTCCTATAATTATCTAACTATGCTTTAATATCGATAATAGATATCTATCATACTAAAATTGATTGTAAATATTCATAGGTGTGCCTACGAAGAACTTCGATAAAAATATTTATTGTTCATTTGTTTGATGACATGATGGCACATGACAAACCATTATGATCCTATGATCAATCTTCTTCTTATGAAATGTACATCAATTTCCACATGTTTTTCTATAGCGTTGGACTGGGTTATTGGCCATTATAATAGGAACCTTATTGTCACATAATTCTCATCCCACCATTTAAGAAATTTTCAATTTTTCAAGTATCCTCTTTGTTAAATATAACAAGTATAAGTAGTGTGTATAATAGTCTCACTATTAAGTATAATAAGTGTGAGTAATGTATATAATAGTCTCATATTGGTTAGAAATGTAGAGACTTGAGCATTTATAAGTGAAAGAACTCACCCACCTATCACCTTAAGATTTTGGGTGAATATGTAGTGTGTCTCTCACAAAGGTGTTGCTCTAAAAAAGAAAAGGTGCACAATGTTCAATGCTCCCTAGTGAAAAATCTCTCTCCAACTCTATATCAGAGTCTTTGGTTCGAGTGAAGGACAGACTCACTTGTATCGAAAGTACTCTCCACAAGTGGTGGCTAGGAGGTGTCAAGGGAGTACATTGTGGAGCATTGTGGATAGACTCACACTTGCGAGTGAGTGTTTATAAGTGAGAGAACTCATACACTTATAACCTTAAGGTACACTCTTTAACCACACTCCTTCACATATTCATTCTACCATGGCTTTTAGTTCAGTTCTGCAATATGTCTAGCTACTATAAATTGGTTCTTACTGGGAAAATAAGAATAATCTTGTTCTAAATGTGCTTGAGATGAAATTCTCTCAGCATAAGACTTAATTTATAATCACGTGGTTACAACCCATGAAGCACGGACACCCTAAAAAAGACCCTGACACGACGATACTCATAATAATTTAAAAAATTAAAAAAATTCAATGTATTCACAAGTGTTGGTGCAAGTGTCCGATACTGACATGAACACATACAATCTTTTTTCAGAGATGTTAGTGCTACATAGGTTACAACTTACAAAGGTAATAAATAATTGTGCGATTTACTAGAAATGAATTAAACTTGTACAATTTACCAAAATACATAGAACTTAGTATGCAGTGAATTAACCATTTGGAAAATGCAGAATGAAATTATTTTAATTTTTCACACTCCTCAAAACTAGTAAATAGGTATTCTCCATTCCCAACTTGGACACAATTTTTTCAAAAATTGGGTAGCTCAATTCTTTGGTGAAGACATTCACAAGTTGACCTTGTGAAGAAATAGAAAGAGGGAAAATCAATACTGCAATCAAACTTCTCTTTGCTTAAACGTTTATCCACCTCAATGTGTTTTTTTCGATCATGTTAAACAGGATTTTGAGTTGTACCAATTGTTGACTTATTATCACAAAAGAGTTTCATAGACTCATCCCATTTAATCTTCAAATCTTCTAAGATAATCTTTAACCAAAGTAATTCACAAATAACTTGTGACATAGCTCGAAACTCAACTTCAACACTAGATCTGGCCATAACATTCTACTTTTTACTCCACCAAGTTACAAGATTTTCTATGAGAAATGTACAATTCCCTGTAGTTGACCTCCGATCAGTAGAAGATCCTGCATAATCAGCATACATATATGCCTCAAGAGTAGCATTTCCATTCCTTTTAAACAAAATCCCTTTTCCTGTAATTCCCTTAAGATATTGTAAAATCTTATCAGCTGTAACTAAACGAATTTCCTTTGGATTATGCATAAATTGACTAACCACACTAACAACAAATGTAATATCTGGCCTTGTCTAGGAAATGTAAATTAATCTCTCAACCAATCTCTGATAGATTTCCTTATCTACCACTGC